CCTTTTTAAGACCAGCATCTAGTAAAGTACCTGACACATTTACACCTGGTGTCTGCTGGATGAATTAAACAACTAAGCCCCTCCCTCTGGTTTCAAAACACTATCTTCAAAACATTATCTTAAGAAAAATGTGTTTAGTGAAACCGAGTATAAAATAGGATACGGGTTAAAACTCACCCCAGTCTAAGAACAGCTGAAAAGTCTTGAGTCCTCAAGTATCATTGCAGTTCTATCTAACTCAACCTGTGGCAGCCTCCCTACGTGACAATCCTAAACCTCTGTGAGTTGGGGGTACATCTCACAAGGTGATCCAATTCAGTCTCCTTACGTTCACAGTGGGAGGGCGGTCACCTGGCTAACAGGTTTATTTCCGTGTTTTTAAAGCTATACTCCATCATAAGCAGGCTGATACTCTGTTTTTTAGAATCAATCTTGTAAGTCTGAGTGCATGAATCAATGCACTAGGTTAAAACTGCTAGCAGAAAAAGGCTCTGGCCCTATCAGCATCATCAGTGAATAGTCCCAGAGCTTCCTACATTAAAAATATGAGAGTTAAAATAGTCTGTCAAAAGAAGGGATCTTCCTACTCTAAAAAGTTATGATTATCCAGAGCAATTATGTGAAAAAATTAAGTGATGGAATGATTCAGCTTTAAAAACTCTTATTGCTTCTTTCTGGAAGGAGGGGGAATCACCTATAATCCTATTATTAATTTGTCGAAGATCCTTCCAACTCCAGAATAAAGTCAATATTGTTTCCCGAGCTCTCTGTAAGAAGAGCGGAATTTCACATTTGGCTTAAAACTCAGTTTGCTGTTGTCGTGTGCCATCGAGTCCATTTCGACTCATAGTATATAATTACTATAATTCCCATCTATTTGATAGGCAAAAATCCAAGTTTGTCAACACACTCTGTTGGCGAGACACAGGGGACAAAGACTGGTAGAAATAAAAACTGGTACACATCCTTAGGAAGAGCAGTTTGGCAATTCCTAGCTTAGTTACAGATTCATTTACCCTTTGACCCAGATGTTTCTGTGAATTGCTGCACATGTATAAAATGACTCATTCCAGTATTGCTTATAAAAACAAAAGGTTTAAGCAACTCAAATGTCTATCAACAGTTAAATAAACTATGGAACCTCCACACAATAAAATTTCCCTTCCCACCTGTTCGAACTACTAAACCACTAAAACAAATGTAGCAATTATCCATCAAGAACTGATATTCACCATTCCTGTTCCATGCCTCGGCCCTTAGGTTATTAACTTGATGCTTCTGGAGAAAGTAGGAATTTTAAGAAATTCTTAAACCTTCTTGGAATGATGAGGAGAGCTAGTGTTTTCATATAGTGGTATGCCAAATAATAATGATTTGTTTTTGCTTAGAAAATGATACAAATAGGAAAAAAAAAGTTATGTAACTCATGTACTGGATGACAGCAGACAGAAATGATGGACTCTCTTAAAATGTATAAACAAGATAGCACATTGCGTGAGACAGGTTGTACGACATTGAGGACAGGCCAAAATTGTAGATTTTCAAGAGCTGCCTGAGGGAGATGCTATAATTAAAACCAAACCAGTCAGTTCCAACTCACGGCAACCACATGTGTGTCAGAGTAGAACTGTGCTCCACAGGGTCTGCCTTTTTTTTTTTTTTTTTTTACTTTAGGCATGGTTTATTTGCTTTTAGTTTCATCCTAAACAAACAGCTGAGACCCTAACAGAAAGTGAAAGTTTAATAAATATTTATTGAATAAATGAGCAAATTAATGATTAAAGAAATAAGACTGTAGGCAAAAGCAAATTATAGTAGCTTTTCTTTGTATTACAACACCTTTTTTATCTTTCAGTAAATGTACCAGAAATGAACCATGTAAACTGAGTGTTACCCGTTGAAGGAATCACCTTGGGGTGGGAGTGGGCAGTAAGCAAAAATGGTTTGACAATGCTACTGTTGTTCAAAGTATTTTTCATACACCTTTCAGCACCAGTCACACATCCCCTTATTGTGTTGTTGTTGGGTGCCGCTGAGTCCATTACAACTCACAGGGAACCTACAGGGCAGAGTAGAACTATCCCATAGGGTTTCCAAGGCTGTAATCTTTACCGGAGCAGATAAAGCCAGGTCTTTTCTCCCATGGTGGGTACAAACTGCTGACTTCTTGGTTAGCAGCCGAGCACTTAACCACTGCACCACGAGGGCTCCCACACATACCTAGTGAGCAGCAAATCTTAATCCTTTGGGTAAGGATATAATTTTTTTTTTTTATTATTGTGCTTCAAGTGAAAGTTTACAATTAAAGTTAGTCTCTTGTACAAAAATTTATACATACATTGTTATGTGACCCTAGTTACTCTCCCTATACTGTGCCAGCACACTCCTCCTTTCCACCCCGGATTTCCCATGTCCATTCAACAAGCTCCTGACCCTCTCTGCCTTCCCATCTCACCTCCAGACAGGAGCTGCCCATCTAGTCTCGTGTATCTACTTGAGCTAAGAACCGAACTCTTCACGAGTATCATTTCATGTTCCATAGTCCAGTCTAATCTTTGTCTGAAGAGTCGGTCTCAGGAGTGGTTTTAGGCTTGCGCTAACAGTGAGTCCGAGGGCCTTCCGGGGTCCCTCCAGTCTCAATCAAACCATTAAGTCTGGTCTTTTTACTAGAACTTGAGTTCTGCACCCCACTTATCTCCTGCTCCATCAGAGACTCTCTGTTGCGTTCCCCGTCAGGGCAGTCATTTGTGGTGCAAAATTATTTTAATCTTTTTGTTGAGAATATACATTGCAGAATCTATAGGGTTTTCAATGACTGGTTTTTTGGAAGTAGATTTCCAGGCCTTTCTTCCCAGGTGCCTCTGGGTGAACTCAAACCTCCAACCTTTCAGTTAGCAATGGAGCACATTAACCGTTTGTACCACCCAGAGACCTCCTACTATAATTAGCAACCCGTTAAATGTTCTATTTCCAATGTTCAAAAGGGAACATATCAGTTTTGTTTTTTCCTGTCATTATTTTGAAAGGAAGTATTTTCTAACTGCTGAAGGTTTCTGCAAAGCTGTAAAATTCCAGCAGAACCTAGCAACACAGTAGTTATAAAGTGTTAAACATAAGTTCTAAACCATTTACCCCAAATTTGGTAGTAGGTACATATTTGCCAACAATGTATACCAGAGTAAACATTTTTCTGCACTCTGGGAGAAATGCTTTAATATTTTTAAATGTCTTTCAAAATATAAGCCCATTATCTTTACAGCTTTTCCTTCAAACAAAAGTTACTGTATCATTCTGTAAAATGTCTATGCTCTCCAGTCAACTATGTTAAAATTTAAAGTTATATCAATATTTTTGTATTATTTTCAAGTGGAAGGAACATTCAACAACTTACATACACTAGGGTTAGTGGGTGTTTTCATAGCTGTTTTGTGCTTCACCCACCATCCAAAATCTCGAGGCTGCTAGAATGATAGCCTGTTAGTGGGAGAAATGATGTTAGAAACCCTCTACTTTTCATTTTACAGATGGGAAAACTAAGGGGCCAGGGGAGGTTCAGCAACTCACCAAAGTCATACTATCAGCTACTGGCAAGGACCAGAACCCATTCTCCCAAAGGTCAACTAATCCAGCAGTCTTTTCACAGAACCAAGCTGCACTGGCATCTTTAGCTAACAATCATTTTCCTGTTACATCCCTTCCTTTCATGCATGCCAAGATCTGCCAGCCCCAGTAAAAGGAGGCTAAGGTACCTTTCCCCTCCTGATTCCTGCTGAGAAATCTGCATTACCTAAATTACCAGCTGCCTTGGGATTTTAAAAGAGGGTTATTTTACTGGAGAGGGCTTATTAATGAAATGGAGTAATGACTCCTGCTGCTGCTTAGATTAAGAAAGTTCCTACTGCAGACCATCTAACATGTCAATGACCTGCTTTTTTGGCCAAGAACACCCAAAAGGCAGCAATGACAAAAGTTATCCACTTTATTAATAGCTGAATTTGAAACAGAAATTGTGTGGATTTTTACGAATCAACAGGAAGTATCTGCAATGGGCAGCATATTTGTAGAACTGCAAGTTTAAGGGAAGTCTGTGAGGCTAATGTTTGCTTTGCTATCTTCCTTTTCAAGTCTCCTCCTTGACGCACACACGGTTGAGGGCAGGACCTTCGAAGAGTGTAACAAAATGTTGAAGTCTAGCAGTTACAAGTTACGGTCTGGCTACATTAAGTTTAAGCTTCCACTCCAGTTCTCACCCCTTGCCAAACCCTCTGAGGGGTTGGAATTTACCAAATTTATGGGATTTCAGTGTAACTCAATTCTACATGGGTAAAACAGACAATGAACAGACAACAGAATTAGTTCCTCAGTTAAACAACAACAACAAAAACCCTGAACACTAAGCAGCCATGGCCCAATATACCCAATTTACTCAACAGAATCAAAAGGACTAGTTTTAGAAGTCTAAAAAAAGGATATAAACTTAGAATCAATCAAGGGTAAAGTAAGCTGAATTACACTGCCACCCCCCTCCTCCACCCTTTCAAAAATCTCTTCGGTAGGAGGGTGGGAAGAAGGGGACCAAACTGATTGCCTGACTAAATGGCTCCACTAATTCTGTAAACAAGTTTAAGCTTGATATCCTAGAGGCAGAAATGCTATTTCACACATCGAGTTAGCTAAAAAAGGTTGGCTATATGGAATGACAGTATGCATGTACACAAAGGGAAAGCCAAGTTGAACTATTCTGAGTAAAAATAGACAAAATCATGTCTACAATAGCTTTGATGAGATAAATGTTTGCTTTTGTAGTGCAGAAGATAACATACTAGCAAAATACGTCCAATGCTTTATTCTAGAAACCTGCCATTGTCAGAAAACCAACTGGAGTCTTAGGCATCTCTTACAATTCAGTTTATTAGCAGGGTTTTGATTTTTAAAACAACTAGATTATAAAATGCTTTAGTAGCTCTTCCCACTTAAAGTCATAAATTTGGTGTATTATGGCAGTTTACAGTAGTAGCACCTCCCACCCCCTCCCCAAAAAAAAAACACAGTATCAATTTTGTGGATATTTTAAAAGTTTATTTCTATTTTAACTAGCCCACATACCCCAATCTTAAGAGGGCTGAGCTGGTTTCTTTCTAGCACATGGTCTACAGACCCTCCTCATGTTAACTTTGTCTTTCCATCCCTTTCCAATAAAGACAGCACCTTCCATCATGATGCACATTTTAAGTTAAAATTGCCAATACAACCCTCAAAATGGAAGTTTATTGAATAAAGCTGAGAAGAGCAGTAAACAGACAAAAAATGCATCCACCTAAATTAAAAAAAAAAAAATACGTATTTACAAACTTCAGTAACTGTTAAGTTTTCACATGCAGAGGTTAATGCACAGGAAAATGTTGGTAATAGTGTTTGGAGATCTTGAAATGCTGAAAGCAATGAAAAGACACACAAACACTCTAAGGTTTAACTATAGGTCAATTAACAAACCTATGCGGTCCTCACGTAGTCACACATTCTATTTCTGAATTCTCCTCATAGCACAAGTAAGTTGCCACATTCTTTGTAACGGTTCACAGTGACCATTGATGGTTGTGAACTACAGTAGCAAGTTTAAATAACTCTTCGTTTACAGAACCATCCATTCCATCGGGGAAGTAAGCAACATGCTTCAAAGAATAAGAACAGAATTTTAAAAGCCCAGATTCTCCTCATAAAAATGTGACTGGAGAAAAACAAGTAGTGTCTGTGCAACACAGTGCAGTACTTTGTACAGAATATTTTTAAGGCCATGGCAGTCTATAAATTAAAACTGGTATTCATTGAAAGAACTTACTGTTGACTACACTCTGAGTGCTCAACACGTTTGGAAATGAATGCACTGTCCACATGTAAGTGCTGCGTAACAAAAGAAACAAAAATCACACACAGTGTGAGGCAACACGTAAGTTTTATCTACTACAGTGGTCTAGGTGGATAACGATGTACAAGTGAACCAGTATTCATTCGTCCCTTTATGTATATGGAGATCGCTAAGCTACAAAATGTGTTCATTTTCAGTTTTTACACATCTCTGTATCACAGAAGCAAACAATAAACAGCATCAGTTCCTCGGTTCTCTGTGTGGCTGATTATTAAACAACCTGTAGACATTGCGCATGATTACATTAAATAAAGCAGGCAGGTCTAGAGTTGTCACAATAATCAAGATGTCTAATGGCACCCAACAGAATGGTGCCAAACCTTACATCAATAAGAGAGAAAAATAAGAATTTGTATTTGTTTATAAGCATCATTTGTGCTGAAAGTCAACTTAATGACTGGATATAAAAAGTCAGGAGTTAGAGTGTCATGCAGAAGCACTGATTTAGTGACTAGAGATAGAAACAACAAACAGGTGTTTGAACAAAGTCGGACAGTCTTAACAGATTTTATTATATTGGCTGGAATGCTCTAAATTCATGAAAGCTTCTGGGAAAATCTTCAGTTCCCAACCCCTTATAAAAGTGTGTTGAACCAGGAAAAAAAAAAAGAAGTAATGATCTGGACAGATACAAAACAGCATGCCTTAGCTCCTCCCCTATCCCCAACTGCTATCTGGTGATGAAGAATTCTCAGAAAACAGAATGTTTTTAAAAATCACCAGGTAAGACCTCACCAGTGTAAAGAACCAGTAACAACATCGATGTGATGCGTCCGCTCCCTCTTTGCAGACCAGTTTTTAATTTCTATGGTGTAATGAACATGTCACATGCATTTGTGAGATAAGATAGACATTATGTTTATATCCCACACGAATCAGGCTGAAAAGTTGTCTAAATACTGTGTGTGGCACTACAAACTTCATGCTGTCTCAAGTCAGTATCAGTATTAAGCTATTGGACTCTACAATTAAATATCCTAGATAGACATTTACTGAAAATCAATATAAAAATCTGGCCCAGAAAGACCAGAATGGAAATAAGCAATTTTCTTGATTTAAGATGGTCAAAAGTGTGTTTTTAAAAAAAGGTCTACACACTGTTTAAGACAAGTATGTGTAAGAAGCCTTTTTGTGTGTGTGCTGACTTTATCATGACAACTCTAGCTGATTCTTTATGAAGGGTTAGGGATACACATCTTCAGCAGTGCACATGAGAAATAAACTCTGAAAAAGGCAATTTCTTGGGTTTAGGAAGGACCGTATTCTGGGAAGTACTTCAGAGGAACGGACAATAATTCTAGGATTATAGCCAAGAAGGACTGGAAGACTTCAGAAGATGCTTCAGCTTCTTCTAGATTTTGAATGTTGAATAAGCCATTGAAGTGTGATATCTAGAGATAGGGGAAGAGGGGGGGAAAAAGTCAAAGCATTAAGAAATTAGACATCAAACAGACAATGTTAGAAAATGCAGCTAACGTTCAGGCGCGTGATGCAGTCAACACGGGGCCTACCGTCCGTCCTCTGCCCATCTGCACCTGCACTACTAGACAACACTACTCGAGCTTCAGAGGACCATCGGAAGAATTTTAAGAGACTGAGGGGTCTCCTGATTTAAAAATTAAAATGTGTACAGGACAGTTTGTATCATCTTTTGTTCATTCAGAAAGGTACTGACTGCCTATAAGATCAAGTATTATACCTGAGGTACCAGGAACGCAAAGATATGGGAGAACCCCTCTCTACCCTTGAGGAACTTTTAGTCTAGGAGACAGAAACAGCACCACAGAATTCCAGGTAAAAGAAACAGCAAAAGCAAAAAATAAAGAAAGGCATGAAACAATGTGGAACTCTGGGTGAACTGTAAGTGAAATGACCTGGCTAAAGTACAAGGATGAGGAAGTGGGCTGGCACGGACTGCAAAGACTAGAACAGTTTCTCAACCCTGCTCCACTGACATTTGGGGCTGGATAATTCTTTACCGTGGGGGGGCTATCCTGGGCACTGTAGGATGTTTAGCAGCATCAATGCCCTTTATCACTAGATGCCAGAGGGACCTTCTACCCTCACCCCCACCCCACTTTGTGACTTGATTACCTAAGAAGTCTAATCCATTTGGCAGTTAGTTTATATTTCTTGCTCCAAATAATCTGGCATTCTGATTTATAAACTACTTGTTTGGAATCTAGTTAGTGTGGATCAGTTTTCTTGGCCTTGATAACACTTTAAGTGAACCAGGAGTTCTAAACTACAAAACTGGGGTTGGATGGATCCTGGTGACTAGTGAGGTCTAACAAACTATGAAGACCAGCCTCAAATAACAAAAGCAGTTCTCACCAGCTCTGCTGCATTTCCTTCATAGATGAGCTCCCAAGACTTTTTTCAGGTAAGTATCGGCTAATTTTGTCAAGATGATAAAATTACTAAGGACTCTTTCTCCCTTCAAAAGTTTTTTTTTCCCCCCTATTTCAGAAAATACTAGAGAAAATATAAGGGAGTAGTGGATTAATAGAACACCACAGTGTACTGAAAATTATGGTTAGTATAGAACAGGGTTTCTCAATTTCAGCACTATTGACATTTTGGGCTGGATATTCTCTGCTCTGGGGGCTGTAGGAGGTTGAGCAGCATCTCTGGCCTCTGTTCGTTAGATACCAGCATTGCTTCCCTCATGGGGGCAACCGAAAATGTCTCCAAACATCAAAAAATGTCCCCTGAGGAAAAAAGATCCCTTAGTGAGAACCACTGGCAAAGTAAATAAATGCTCTCTTGGAGGCAAATTTTAACATTTAACAAGAGTCTCCCCTACACAGAAAAAAATTTTTTCTTTAATACAATTTAAGTCTAAGTAACCGTAAGTGTTTGAACACTCTATTCTCAAATAATCTAAAATGTACCAATGTAACAAGTCACTTATTCATTAGATGAAAATTAGTGTTCATCAGCAACATACTAGGGCTTAGATGACTTTCAGTGGTCTTTAAAGATAGCCCAGAATCAACCAAAACAACTGTCAACATTTTGACTCATTAGAGCATGTTTGGGGCAAGGCAGGGGAAGATACAGGCTGGAATTAACTCCAAAAAAAGCCAAGCATGATGAGAATCAATGCATACTGAATGAAGGTTAAAGGAAAAGAATCAGAATACCTTTTTAAACATGCTATTTTGACACTATTTATTGCACATTATTCCAATACACTTGTTTATTAAATAATCCCTCATATTAAGTAAGAGACTAAAGTTAAGACATGCAGACTTATTCTTTAAGTACATTAAATAGATAAAAGATATTTGTAGCAATATCTCCAATAGAGTGCTAACATATAACAATAATATACTGGTTCAATAAACAAAAAAAAATTGTTACAGTGCCTCTAGACCAATTTTTGTAAAGTCCTATTTTAAAAATGTCATTTTGTTATACAGCACAGCTGGATACTAGCTCTGCAAATATTAATACAATAAATTGGTATTACATAATGCTTAACTTCATGGTTTTACTGCATTTACTTCTTTAAATAGCGTGGAGCTGTTTGTTGTCAAAAGGTGTAATGTCTACTCTTTTTCCTGAGGCAAAAACAACAGTACCCTATAAAGGAAGTCACTTAAACAGAAATGGGAATAAACAGTAAGAAGCATTAGATGTCCCTTCCAATGACATCTACTTCTTCCATAACACCAGTCATTACCTACCTATATTATCCTTCTCTTTGCAAGAAATTGAATAGCAGCAAATTTCTCTATCCTGAATAGCAGACAGATTCCTATAAGAAGAATTAAGAGAATAAGGCTGTGTTTAAAATAGTTGTCATACTGATCACTCTGCTCAATTTTACTTATTATTACTAATAAACTGAAGAAATTATTTTACTCTACTAAAATTCTAGGGATTGACTTCTCTGATGGGCCAACTTTATCTACCTAACAGCATGGCTATAATTATTATTACTGAGTAATGTAATGATATTAAACAATTAAAATAGTGAGCAAAATAGTATTATTCAGAATCAACTTTTAAAAACGCCATCATTGATTCTTAAAGACGTACATTTTTTCAATTAGCTGTTTCTCATCCAAGGCATTAGGAAGATCTCTCTTGTTTCCAAGAACTAGCACCTTAAAAAAAAAAAAAGACATTAGAAGTGAACTGTCATGTAAGAAGATAGTTTTAACAAACTAATGTCAAAGAAGCATATCATCTTGATATCAATAAATGTTAAAACAGATGTTACCACATGACATAGTATTAAATCAGATTTGTGTAACTGGTGGTTTGTCAGATTAATTTAATAATCGAAATTAGCATTTACTTAACTTCTACCACGTAGATACCCTTAATTCAATTTGCAGCTGCCAACTTCTATTTAAAACCATCTTAAGTCTATGCTATGCATTCTGCTATTTCTTTTGTTTTTAAATTGTGCTTTAGGCACAGATTTACAGAGCATGTTAGTTTCTCATTAAACAATTAGTATACATATTGTTTTGTGACACTGGTTACCAACCCTACAACGTATCAACACTCTTCCCTTCTCGACCTTGGGTTCCCTATTTCCACTGGTCCAGCTTTCCTGTCCCCTCCTGTCTTCTCATCCTTGCCCCTGGATTGGTATACCCATTTAGTCTCATATACATGGTTGAGCTGCTACATGTATTGTTTGTTTTATGGGCCTGTCTAATCTTTGGCTGAAGGGTGAACCTCAGGAGTGACTTTAGTACTGAGTTAAAAGGGTGTCCAGGGGCCATAGTCTCAGGGTTTCTCCAGTCTCCGTCAGACCAGTAAGTCTGGTCCTTTTTTGTGAATATGAATTTTGTTCTACACTCTCCTCCAGCTCTGTCCAGGACCCTCTATTGTGATCCCTGTCAGAGCAGCTGGCGGTGGTAGCTGGGCACCATTTAGTTGTGCTGGGCTCAGTCTGGTGGAAGCTGTAGTAGTTATGGTCCATTAGTCCTCTGGACTAATCTTTCCCTTGTGTCTTTGGTTTTCTTCATTCTCCCCTGCTCCAGACAGGGTGGAACCAGTAGATCTATCTTAGATGGCTGCTCACAAGCTTTTAAGACCCAGACGCTACTCACAAAAGTAGGATGTAGAATATTTTCTTTATAAAGTATGTTATGCCAATTGAGCTAGATAGCTGTCCCCTGAGACCATGGTCCCCAGCCCTCAGCCCAGGCATTCTGCTATTTCTTAATAAATCTTCACCAAAATATTAATATGATCTTAAGAACCAAGGGTAGGGAAATACTTTTTATACACAAGTCATAAAATACCTATTAATCACATAGATACATTTTTCAAATTCAGGATAGATTCTATAGGATATCATTTATAAATATTCTAAGATGATGGATAAGATTGGGCATCAGGATAAATACTGTAGATACAAACTGTGAGAATACGTTAAGTGTTATCATCTAATTGCTAGATGTACTTTGAAAAGAGAGCAGAGCAGAGGTGGCCTTCCCCAGTTATCGCTCCGCTCTATCTTTCCCGGATACAATCTCCTTACAGCCTTACACACAGAAAACAAAGAACATGAATACATGTAACTTATTTGATAGCATCCACACTCTAAGTCAGTGTTTTCCAAGAATGTTTACCTTTACTGGTCCAAAGTACACATCATGTCTACCTTGTCATATATATTCTTCACTTAATACCTTCCCACTGTCAGAAATGTGAACCAATTCTACATAGGCCTAGACCCTTACTTTGCACAAAAGACAGAGACAAGGGCATAGGCACAGACAGCCAGGGGTGCTGGGGGCTCTCAGAGAACATTAAGTAAAACTACAGAGAGCTGGAGAGCCAAGAGCTGAATCTCAGTATCTTTGGTCAGCCTGCCTTCCCTTCCCCAACTCTTAATCCTCTCCACACTTTTGTTTAAGTCACTCTGTGTTCTCAAGTTGAAACTAACTTGCTGAGTGTCTAATACTACATCATGGTCATTTGTGATCAGCTCTCAGTTTTGAGGTTGCCTGGCATCTTAGTCCTCTACCTATATTTAAGAAAATTTGAACCTTATAAAACTTCCCCCCAATAAAGTTACTTGCTTCTATAGATAATTTCTTTCCCAGCTTTCCTTTTAGCTAGAGCGTGGATACATAATCTAGGATCAATCATATATAACCACCAATATTGTGAATGTATCATCCAGTGATGCAAAAAATGCAACGGGGGGAGAAAAAAGAAAACAAGGATAGAGAAGCCATTCTGATAGTGGAGGGAAATCAGCCAGATCATCTCCAACCAGAGCAACTGCGTCTCGTGTTCAGCAAGTGCATATGGTCACCAGACTGATTCCGTGAGTTTGAGTCTGGGTGTGATCCTGGTAGATACTCAGCTTCCCAGAGATTCTGCAAGCTACTCAATAAATATTCTTTCAATGAATTCCTTTCTGCTTAAATCAGCTTCCTACTGTTTGCAACTAAGAACCCTGATGATTACCAAAATAAGGCTGATTTTTTTATTTGTGGTATACGGTGCTTGTTTTTAATATAAAAGAAAAAGAATACACTCACTCTTGACTTATCGACATGGTTAGGTTCCAAATATCAGGTCATTATGCAAAAATCGACATTATGCAAAAATGGAAGTTTTTTGTTTGTTTTCAGACCATCAATTTGTCTAATCTTTTTTATTTAGAAAATATGATCATTGAAATAATAACAGCTCAGATTTACTGATGTGCTCATCACTGTGACAAGTCCAGTTATGGATTATTCCACTGCAGAGGAGGAGGCTTGGAGGAGACAAAGCTGGATAAAGCTGGGCTGTGTGAAGCCCATAGCTTAGCCACCTCACCTTCCTCCTGTGCTGGGTCAGAGCTGCCCTCACCGACCCGCCTCCAGGGCTCCACTCCCACCCCTGCAAGCCCTGTGTTCCGGATCCTGCAGTCTGGTCTGCCCTCTGGGCCTGGTGAGTCACCAAGGCTCAAGGCTTCCTGCAAGGGCGCTGGGAGCCTAGCCATGCCCCGGCCAGGAGCCTAGCTTCAGGCCCAGTTCGGCTCACTTTGGGATGTCATTAAACTTGCACGCATTTCTTCCAAATGCCCTCTCTGATGCCTCTTTCTTTTCTCCCTTCTCACTCCATAGCAATTTTGAGCTGCAGGGACTCAGGCGGCACAGGAGCTGGGAACCCAGAACAGGTGTCTGCTAGCTCAGTGCCACCTGCGTGTCTGCCCAGAGGCATGCAGCAGCTGGACACGGCAGCCCTGCTGGCAGGAGGGAACGCAGGGCACCAGGCAGGACGGCCTGGCTTCCCAGAGACCATCCGGAGACCCTCCTCTAGGGAGGCGGTGATCCGCAGCTGTTGCTACCATGCCCATTGCCTTGCTAATGCTCAAAATAGTTGGATAGTAGATTTTTTTACTACTGTTGTAAATGAGAAAGGTCGGATAACAAGATAGTCGATAAGTGAGGAGTAGGTGTAGTCTGGAAGTCAGACATGTTCAAAACCTGGCTGTGCAAACTTACTAATGACCATGTGGATCTTGAACAAATAACTTTCATAAAGTGGGGATAATGTCACCAAGCTCAAAATGTTGTGAGGGTCACCTGAGATAATATACTTCAAGTATCTGACACTCAAGAGCTTATCTTGAGGCTAAAACCTGGTCTTTTTCCAGCATTCCTCAGCTCAACAAACAGCATCATCCTCCATCTAACTGCATATGTAAGGAACTAGAAATTACTCTTTATATCTCCCCTCCTCTAATCTATTGCCCTGTCTGGCTGATTGTGCTCCTAAATAGCTCCATAATCTGTTTCTGTTCTATAATTTTCCAGGACTACTGCAACAGCTTCTTAAACTGCCCTCTGCGTAGTCCCTCTTGACCACTTCAATCCAATCTTAAAAGGTAATCAGAGTGATCAATTCAAATCACAAACTGATCATTTAAAACACTTCCAGGGCTTCCCACAAAGTCCTCTGCAGCGTGGCCTCCTCCAACAACCCGGCAGCAGGGCACACCACACTCTACCCCTGCCCCCACTCTGCTCTGTGCTGGAGTGAGACCAGCCTCCTCCTCTCAGTGCCTCGCTGCCTCACACCAGCCTGAACTCTTTTCCCCTCCAACCATCACCAATTTAATTCCTACACATCCTTCAGGTCTCAGCTCAAATATCACTTACTCTGGGAATCCTTCCTTGTTCCCTCAAACTGGATCAAATCTCCCCTCTAACTTATAAATCTCATAGTCCCATGGCCCTCTTCTTTGTAGCACTTATCAAAGCTGGGTTATTCAAGTGATGCCACAGTACCTGCCTTTCTCATTAAACCGTAAACTCCATGATACAGGGAATATGTTTCCATTTATTTCTTTTCAGGATTGTACCTCCTTGATTGAATTTAATAGATACTTGGTGAAGAAATTAATAAAAAACACAATGCCTAGTACTATGAAAGATACTCAGTAAACATAAGCCTTTTAAATTTTAAAACAGAAGACATTTTACTGACTTCAAACATATTATAATCATATATTTGCAAACGTAAAAAAAAAAAGTATTCTGTACTTACTGGAATTCCTTGTAACTGTGGTTTATCTAGAAGATTATGTAGTTCATTTCGAGAGGCTTCTATCTTTTCACGATCTGCAGCATCTATCATGTAACTTAAAAAAAAAAAAAAGAAGTCATCTAAATATGCCTTCTCCATATACCTTGATAATCACAACTAAGCTTACAGATTTTTAAAATTTTCTTAGGATTTACCTTACTGGAATTATTAATCAAAATAAAGTAAGTCCTGGATAAAGAAAAGTTCAACACCCATAAATACTTTTAACTAGACTGTTCTTAACGGCTAATACACGATAGTAAAACATTTACATCCCTTAACTCTTAGCTGCATAAACAAAAACATAAAGCTCTCACTCTATGATTACAAAATTTTAAATCCCATGTTATGGCATTACGCTAAGAAAGTATCTAAGAAAGACTTTTATAGCCTGGGAGAAAAACTGAGCATTTGGAAGTATTAAAAACATCTTATTCTTTGAAGCTCTAAACTGACTTTAAAAAGACACTTACACAATCGCGTTGACTCCCCTGCAGTAGCGTTCCCACATGCTCCGGAATCGAGGTTGCCCTCCTATGTCCCAGATCTTTAAACCAAGACAAGACAATTCTTAATAAAGAATATTTGAAACAATACGATGAAAGAGAAAGCAGCAGAAGAAAGGAGAAAGATCAGGCAGATATGCCCATTTCCACAACGCTAGAGCCAAGGAACTCCTCTAGCTGCAAGTGAGCTCTCTTAATCTGGGAATTCTTAGAACTGCTTCTAAAATTGAAGTCCGTATTTAATACGTTTGTACTAGATCTAAAATTCTGCTTGAGGAGAGATTTGGCTTTTGTGCAATACTTTCTTTGCCTGTTAACCAACACATTTCTAATATTGAAAAAGTTTATCTTCAAGGTAACACTTTTTAAATCTATAGAACCATTTATCATCCAGATTTGAATGCCAAGACAGGAAACAACAGTTCATTCTGAATCTTTTGAAGTTTGATAGGGTATATATTAATACCCAATCTTTTTGTGTAGTCTCGTAAATAAATGGCCAACATTCCCACCTAGGTGTATTTCTTATACAAAATTATTTCATCCATATGCAAGCCATTGCCCATAATAATAATTTATTATTACACCTGCTCTATAGGGCACTATGCTGGACACTGGGCTACATAAAAAGTTGAGTCAGGGTATTTATCTTCAAGAGGCTTCCAATTTAGCTATAGATACAAGTAACATGCATAAAGAGACACATACATGGATAAATTAGGAGCTTCATTACACCAGGTACTGAAAGTGTTTAGTAAATAGCTTCTGTGAGACATGAGAATTGTGCAAAATGGCCGTAAGGTCTCAGGACACGGACATAAACTGCCAATAGCTACTGAACAACAAAAAAAAAAACACTAAAATAAGGCCCCTAATAAACAGTCCACATTTAAACTTTGAAGTATTCCCAGAGGAGTGATATTTGAGCTAAGACCTGATGGATGTGTAGAATTAAGCTGGTGATGGTTGGAGGGGAAGAAAGTTCAGGCAAAGGCCCTTTGGTGTGAGGCAGTGAGGCACTGAGAAGAGGAGGCTGGTCTCACTCCAGCACAGAGCAGACTCAATGGCAACGGGTTGGTTTCATTTAAACTTTAAATTTATCAAGCTCATTCTAAAAAGAAAATTGTGTTTTAACTTTTTCCTATTTTATAGTGTTAATAGTACTAAAGGAGGGGAAAATTGGTTTGCAGTATTTGCTGTCACAAATTTAATAAGTATTAAATTACCAATATTATAAATAATAAATTACCGTTTACTATAAAATACTACTCACAAAATAATACAATATCACATTCCAAATACTCTGAAGTTGAGATTTTTATTTCCTAGAAACACTTAAATCCAAAAAATTACTTTTGCCAACCCTCAAGTTTTTTATGGGCCACTTAAAACATTTCAACCTTTACACATTTTGATCCATCAGACAAAATATCCATTCATTAGTTAAGAATTGCAAATACTCAAGTAAAAAAAAAACAAAAAACCAGAGAAAGTTTTAGCTGTATATGCTAATCAATTTCAATAGCAAGTAGCTAACGTACCTTTATTGTGACGTTACCTTTAGTTACTTTCCTCATGTTGAAGCCCACTGTCGGTATCATATCTTCACTGAACTGACCTGACTGAACAAAATAAAACACTTGATGTTAGACTAGTCAATATTTATAAAGGGATGTAACTTTGCATAACCTTCTAGTATCAAATTTCATTTGGACCTGTTTCAGTAAATGATTTTTTTAGTGGCAGGAATAATCTGCTTTAAGAAAACATTCCTTACAACCATAATTCTTGAAAAGGGGCATTATTTTGTTTATACAAAGACATATTCTTTCATTATAAAATAATATTTCTTAAAAATAAGGGTTTTTTAAAATTTCCCTAAGTTAAAAAAAAGAAACTTTGTACATTATAAATAATTATGAAAATTTATAAATTCTCCCACCTAAACATATATTTTCAAACACAAAGTAGAAGAAAATCAGAAGTAAACCTTTGGAAAATGGAAAAAAAGGCTTTGTATTTTTTAAGATTTAAATTATTTTGGCAATAAATAGTAAAATTCACTGATAAATAACTTTGCCCAGCTTATCTTTTAACAAGGCTTATAAAATAGAAGTTACTCCTTTTATGTAATCAGTTCTGTTCTCTTGCTCATTTCTCACCATGACATCATGACTAAAATTAAATATTTTCCTGTAATAGCATTTCTATGACTTTGCCACATTTAAAATGTTTATTTGTCTGTAATTTGTTTTATCATATAGTGCAAGAAAGTTTCTTTTTTTCCAAATGAATAACCAATAATCATCATCAGTAATTTAAAAATCCACATTTTGCCAACTATTTGAAGTGATATGCCAAACTCCATATACAGACATGTCTGCTTTGAGAAAACGCAATCTTTATCAAGCCTTGATATTAAACAACTATCAAGTCTCCCTATCTAGGTGTATGGCTCGTCCAATAGATCATTCAAATCCTTTATAGCCTTCAGTAAAGCATCATAGTTTTCATAACAGATCTTATATACTTCTTGTTGTATCTGTATTTTGACCACCATTATAAAACATATCAAGATATAATACTGATTTTATGTATGTATATTCTAAACACTTTACCAAATATTAATTTTTCAGTTGGCCTGACTCTACTTTTTAGCTAAACAGCTCAGGATTATCAAATATCCCAACAAGGAACTGGTTAAATAAATAGGACTCTATTTTCAAGACCCTAACACTGGTTGATTATTTGCTGTGACCTTATGCTAGCTAGGTATGCATACCACAACTATCTGCAAGTCCTCAACACATGAATTCCATTTTTACAAACTACAAATTAATTCTCAAGATACAACTCCAAAAGTTCTGCCTCTTTTTTTACCCCCATTCAGTGGAGTTTTGGCTGATTTTAGAAAAATGTTAACATAGCCATAATCACTACTTTTATTAATACTATGCACTAAAATTCTCAGAACTTTCCTAATATGATTCTCAAACTAGTCATGATATAGGGAGAGGCAATCGTAACCCCCATTTTATAGAACAGAAAGTAGACTCCCAAGGGTCACATGGTTCAATAGTGGTTGATTATATTGTTTTCAAAGGATTTTCATCGTAGTTATACTTAAGAAGCTTTAAGTAATCTCTCGGGAGAGGTGTATGTGAGATATTGCCCTATTTATTTGGTACCATTAGGAAGTAGTGTTTTATATAATGAAGCAGCTAGAAAATGGTAGCTAAACTTTTTAGGTACCAAAAGTTTTTAACTGTCTTGCAGAGAAAGCTTTCTAAAATAAATATTTCACATACAATATGTGAAACATGATTTAATGTGCTCTCATATTTCAGGGTCATTTTTATCAATTGTAAATCAGGAAAACTCTATTAGGGTAACAATCAAGGACCCTTCGGGCAGTAATATTTTATGATTATGAACATCAATTATAGCACCACACCATGTTAGAATGACCTGGGGGCTGCAGTGCACTGGGTGCCCCTGAACTTTCTTTACCTGTTCATTCACCTTTCATCACCGTTACTTCCCACTTGCTGACAGATGCTAACAATAACTTTCCCTAATTTGGCTGCTATTACTAATCTGCAATGTCTGAAAATTGGGTAATCACGTGCTTGGGTTTTGAAACCCAAAATGTCTCAAGTACATGAAGATGTTCAGTACATATTTATTGAACTAAGTAAGAATTATTAGGTTGCAAAGGAGGAGAGTGCTAAGACTCTTCTATCAATAAAGTACTTAACTTTGATGCACAGATTTTTGTGGAATACCTACTTTGTGTACTTGGAAGCGTTTTCTACTTCTTTCTTGGTGTCGCGTCTTAATCAACACTATTCAAAGCTTGTGTTAAACAACGACACTGCTCAGTTGGCAGTTGTGCCCTACATAGCTGAGAATTTATTTCTATGCTGTTGAAATGCTGTTAAACTGAGATTAGCAGCTTAGGAAGCATACAGGTATGTAGAAAATACTACTTAACTGTATATCACTTTATTTTAACAAATTTAATTTAAACACTTATATAACATTTCCTATGCACCAAGCATTGTTCTAAGCACTTAATATTATTTATTTAATCGTTATAACAATCCTTTAAAATAAATGTCATTATCCTCATCTTACAGATGAGAAAACCGGGGCAAAGACAGGTTAAATCACTTGCCCAAAATTACATTATTCTTAAGATCTGGATAGTTACAGGATAATCCTTTAAGTGCCAAACACTGACTGGAGGAAAGGGTAGAGAAATAAAAATATGCTTTCATGCCTGCATATGAAACATAAACTGACTTCACTCAATAACACCAAGCTGTGATTCTGTGATGGAGATGCTGTTATCAATGCGCATCCTATAAGTCAAGCTGCAAGGCAGTACTCCCTGGACCTTACCTGACTGAGTAAAATAAATCTGATGCAAAATAAGATGGTGAAAAGAAGACTATCCTAGAAGTCAGGGGATCTTTATTATCAGTTATGCTACTTACTCGGGAGCCCTGCTGGCACAACGGTTAAAAGAGCTCAGCTGCTAACCAAAAGGTTGGCAGTTTGAACCCACCCAGTGGATCCGCAGGAGAAAGATCTGGCAATCTGCTCCTATAAAGATTATAGCCAAAACAATGCTATGGGGCAGTTCTACTCTGTCACTTATCCCAAGTGACTATGAGTCAAAAATCAACTCAAGGACACCTAACAACAACAACAAATGCTACCTACTAACCAGATACAGGAGCCCTGGTGGCGTAGTGGTTAAGAGCTCAGCTGCTAACCAAACAGTCGGCAGTTCAAATCCACCAGGCGCTCCTTGGAAATCCTATGGGGCAGTTCTGAGTCGGCACCAATTCGACAGCATCCAATAACAAACCAGATGTAAGTCATTTTACTGCTTTGGAAGTCAGCTTCCTTATCTATAAAAGGGAATTGGAAGATTATCTCTAAAGTCACTTCCAGCTCTAACATTTATGGTTTTATGTTTTATTCATAGGCCTCTCATTTAAAATATAGTTAAGCAAACAGATGAATGCCTACAACATTAGAAAAATGTGGATTTTCCCAAAATTCATTAGTATACGAAAGGCTAAAGCAGACCTTGTTCCAAAAAGTTCTATCATTGTCAATTCTACCACGTACAGTTTACCTAAATTTGCTACTTCAGATCTGAGAAATGGGGCAAATGGAAAAGGGTGAGGAATTTAAAGGAAAGAGACAGACCAAGGGAAAAGTTACCACGGGTAAAGTAGACGGCATGAGGCAGTGAACCTCTGTTAGCAAACGGATACTTTACTGAAGATACCCTGAGATATTAAGAACGGGGAAGGGTCTTAATCTTTTCCTTCTGTAAGGCTTTGGTTATCAAGCTACTGTGTAAAAACAGAATGAAATAAAAAGTATGACAAAAGCCTCATACTAAATTTCTCCTGTTGGCCAGAAAAGACTATTTTTCACATGTTAAGCAGAGTAGTCTTTTTTTTTTTTTAAACAAAACACACTGTGACTCAATTGTATAACTGCCAAAATTTACACACCTGACAAGTAAGAAGATATGGCCAGTGAACAAATCACTCATTTTCTAAGTATTTTTTAATTCAAACATGAAATCACTATTATTACTAATAACTCATTTTTCTAATTAGTGTCATCATTAAACCTCTTTATATTTTTTTAGTAAGTGGAATCACTGGTAATAGTAGTGCTCTTATATTTCAATTAGAATTAGTAAGAAAAAAAGAATGACAACCTTTTGGGGGGGGGACTGGAAAAGCACTTAAAATGAAAGGTAATCATTATGTTTAATCTAGGGGAAAATTTTGATGAGGAGCAGGATACTTTCATGGTCTTAAAGTGTAGTCCCAAACTGCTCATTAATTGTAAGGGAGAAAAAACAGTCATTACTTGGCTGCTAACCAAACGGTTGGCAGTTCAAATCCACCGGCCACTCCTCAGAAACCCTATGGGGCAGTTCTACTCTGTCCTATAGGGTCGCTAGGAGTCAAAATCAACTTGACAGCAGTGGTTTTTTTTAATACAATGGAGAAATCACACAAGACCTTGACTAGGTGATCAAAATTAGCACAATGAAACTAATCCAAAGATGGACATCATATGCCTATGGATGTGATATCATGAAAAGGACACAATCTCCCCTGTGTCAAGAGTGCTGTGGGAGGGATGGCTGGTGTCAGAATTGCTAAAAAGTTTGGCAAGAGGAGGTATGTCTGACCTCCGCCTCGTAGGAATCAGCCTTGGGGATTCCCCCCCTCATGAAGTTAGAGGCCGTCAGACGCCTCCACCGTGCCATTTTTACACCATGTAATTCTACCTATATGACATTCTATAAAAGGCAAAACTATAGAGACAGTAAAAAGATCAGTGACTGCCAGGGATCAAGGAGAGGGATGAATAGGTGGAACACAAGTCATTTTTTAGAGCACTGGTAGTGCAGTGGTTAAGTGCTGGGCTGCTAACCAAAAGGTCAGTGGTTCGAATCCACTAGCTGCTCTGCAGGAGAAAGATGTGGCAGTCTACTCCCATAAAGACTTACAGTCTTAGAAATTCTATGGGACAGTTCTACTCTGTCCTATGGGGTCGCTATGACGGCTCGATGGCAGTG